GGCGAAGTGGTGGTGGTGAGGGGGGACAGCTCCCGTGGAAGGCGGGCCGAATGGAGGACCCCTGACCGCGCGTGATCGATGGATCGATGGATCGATGGATCGATCGAGGGGCCGTCCGCCGGGACCGCCGCCCAGACTTTGCGAGCATGCTCGTGCTCCTGCTCGTGCCGACGTGCGAGCCGCTGTCGACTCGCCCGTTCTTCTCGCGACCGGCGCGACCCCTCCGAAGGCGCAGGCCGGAGCACCCGCCAGACGCCTGATTGGGGCGCTCTCTTGCATGCTTCGTCAATGCCAGGGTCGCCTGAGCCATTTTTTTTTTTTTCGTGGTCGTGGTGGTGGTCGTGGAGCGCCTCGGGCCTCGGCGAGGCGCCTGATACCATCGCGCCATTCGCTGCGATCGGGCGGATCGGGCGAATATGGCGTCTGCGCGCATCCCCGTTTGGCGCGTGCGCGCGACCTGCCGCGGCCCACGGCACCCAACGATGGCGGGACGCTGACGCGGCCATGCCGCGCCGGGTCTGGCCTGGCCTGGCCGCGCCTGGCCTGGGCGACCGGACGGATACGGGAGGGAGCGAGAGGCGGCGGCGGCGGCGGCGGCAGGCCGTGCGCGTGGGCCTGGGTCCCGCAGCGAGCCGCGCCACCGGCGCGTGCCGTCCCAGCACCCCGTCCGGCGGCGGCGGCGGCGGCGGGTGCGGCCGAGGCGGGCGGCAGACGGCCAAGGGCCTGCCCAGCCGCTGGCGGGCCGGCGGGCCGGCGGGCTGGCGGGCGGGCAGGCGGGCCGCCAGCCGCCGCCGCCCGCGGCCTGCTGCAGCGTTCGGCTCGAGCGGGGTCTCTCTCCGCGGGCTGCTCGGGTCTCATCGGCGTCCGCGGCGTCACACCTCCCGCTTCGCTTCGCGGCGGCGGCGGCGGCGGCGGCGGCGGCGGCGGCGGCCGACGGCGGGTGTTTAATGCACGGCGCGACCGTCGTCGTTGTTAGTGAGGGTGATGATGGTGATGGTGATGATGGTGATAGTGATAGTCGTGATGGTGGCGGTTCAACGCGAACGGGTCTATCGCGTCGCCGTCGCCTCGTCTCGGGTCTCGGACGATGCGTCTCACTGCTGGCATCGACCCGCAACTGGCATCGACCCGCGACTTCAGATCCGCGACGGTCGACCCGCTTGCTCGTTCTCCGCCATCAATCCCCCTCACAACGGCCTCCGACGGCCTCTCCGCTGCCTTCAGCGATCCCGCCACGGTCCATCCCCCCGTCCGTCTCTCGCCCAACGCTGGCGTGGGATCCCGACGACCGGTCCCGACGACCCTTCCGCGGCAGGGTGCGAGCTCGGACGCGTGCGTCCTCGCGCGGTGCTGAGCGCCACGTGTCCACGACGGTTGGCCCGTCGCGCCCGATAGCAAAGCCAACACCTTCCCTTCCGCCTCTCGGGACGACGACAGACGCCGCCGCTCACGACGCGAGCAGCTGCTGCTCGCGACGGTTCGCCGTCATTGGCATTTCCGCGTGATCCGAGTCGCCGTGTCGCCGGCGGGTGTGACGAGTTCCGCGCTCGCTCGCCGTCGCTGCGTGGCGCGGCCTTGTCGGGACGCACCGCATCGCGGACCGCCGTCGCTGTCGCTGCCTCCGGGTTCGACCCTCGTGCCCCTCCTGCCGTGTCCAGGAGAAGGGCGTTTGATTCCCGTCGCTCGGCCGATTCGCCTCCAATTCCGGGGTGAACGAGCGTTTCCGCGATCCGTGCCAACGGCTGTCGCGGCCTTGCGCTCGGCCCACGTGATTGACGCCCCCGGGGCGGGTCGTTCGCTCGTCTTTTTCTTCGTCGTCGTCGTCTTGGTTCCCGATTCTCAGCCGGCCTGACCGTCGGCCCACCGCGAGCGAGACGGCAAGCACGTCCCGCGCTGCCTGAGCTGCCCGCCATCGGGTCGCCCACGATGGCGACGGCCACGACGCCCACCACGCTGGCGACGTCCGCCGCCGCCGCCGCCGCCGCCGCTGCCGCCGCCGTCGCCGCCGTCACCGCCGCCGCCGGGGCCGTCCCCAGCCTCCCGCCGCCGCCGCCGCTCGACGATGCGACGCCGCCCTACGACGATCTGCGCCACTTCATCAAGCCGCCGTACGCCTTCGCGGCGCTCGAGGACCACATGATGAACGACGACGCCGCCGCCGCTGCGGGGCCCCACCCGAGCCACCACCACGGCCACCCGAGCCACGTGCCGCTGGACGGCGGCTGCCTGCCGACGACGCCGGGCTTCGCCGACGCCGCCCGCCTCGTCTCCCCGCGGCCCTCGCCGCCGTCCTATCCGACCACCCCGCTTCACGCGCCGACGCCGCCTGCCACCGCCGCCGCTCACGCCCACGCCCACGCCATGGCCGCGCTCCACCCCCACTACCCTGCCAACACAGTCGCCGCCGCCCCCGCGCCGGCCGCTGCCGCCCACGGACGCAGCACGACCGCCACCGCCGCTGCCGCCGCTGCCGCCGCGGCGGCGGCCGCCGCCGCCGCCGCGATCAATGCCCACATGACGTCCTCGGCCGTCGCCGCCTCGATTGCGGCCTCGATTGCGGCCCTGCCGCCGATGCCGACGTCGGCCATGAGCGCCAGCGCGCCCGTGACGGCGCCCGCCGCGGCGCCCGCGTACAGCACACCCTTCCGCGGCGACCTCTTTGGCGCCTCGCCCATCCCGCCGACCGCCCACGCGACCCGCGCCGCCCTCTCGGCGCCCCACACGCCCGTCTACCCGCTCTCGCAGGCACACACGCGCGCCCACACGTCGACGCTCCCCATGGCGACGTACGCGCCCCCGTCAGGCTCGACCTCCGCGTCCGCGTCCGCGTCCGCGCCGTCGACGCCGCGGTCCGTGCCGGCCTCCACCGTGCGCAGCGGCGCGCCGACGGCCGCCTCGATCGCGGCCCTGGCGCGCGCCGAGGCCCTCGCCAAGCAGAACGCCCCGGGGCTGCTGCCCCCGGGCAGCGGGACGCCCATCAACCGCAAGCGGAACCCCAGAAAGTGGATCCAGACCTCGCCGAACGTGCTCGACCCGCGCCGCTCGCCCTTCGTCTGCTCGTACCCGGACTGCGGCATGCGCTTCTCGCGCAACATCAAGCTCGAGCGGCACTACCGCACGCACACGGGCGAGCGCCCGTTCCACTGCCCGGCGCCGGGCTGCGGCAAATCCTACGCCCGCAAAGACCATCTCGGTCGCCACACGATGCTGGCCCATCGGCCGCCCGAGGCCGGGCCCCCGCCGAAGCGGCCCACGAGCTCCAAGGCCAAGGCCAAGGCGACGGCCGCGACGGCGACGCCGTTGGCGACAGCCAAGCTGGAGCCCACGCCGCCGTCGATGGCATCGCACTCGATGCCGCCGCCGCCGTCCTCGATGGCCCAGAAGCCGATGGGCCTCATGTCCCACTCGCTCGACCTGGCCTTCCAGCACCATCAGCAGCACCAGCAGCACCAGCAGCACCAGCACCACGCGGGGTTGGGTGACCGCGCCGCATCCGCCATGGCCCCCGGCATGCCGGTGACCATGCCCTTGGACGGCATTCCGCCGCCGCTCGGCATGGCCTCCCATATGGACATGACGGCGCATCTCGCGCCGTCGCATGACTCGATGGCTCTGCCCCCGCACATGGCCATGGCCCACGACCCGGCCCACGGCGCCGCGATGCCGCACCCGTACCAAGCCCAGCAGGCCCCGCCGCCGGGCCTCCACAAGCCCCACGCCGACCTGTACGCCGCCGTCACCGAGCCGCCAAGACTCGCCGGCTCGCAGGGGTCGGCGCCGTCCGCCCCCAACCACACGGACTTACACGCGCTCACGCAGCCCATGTATGACGGCGACATGATCGCCAAGGCCGTCGCGGCCGCCGCCGCCGCCGCCACGGCCCTCGCGGCCTCGCCGCTCGCCGCTCTCGACGCTGGCCCGCCCCCGGCCGATCCCTCGGCACCACCACCCGCGGCCGCGGCCGCGGGGCCGGACGCCGCGACGGCCGGCGAGGAGGACCCGGCGCAGTCGTTCGAGTGCGACCTGTGCGGCCGTCAGTTCAAGCTCAAGCAGTATCTGACGCGCCACCGCCGCGACATCCACCAGCGGCCGTTCCACTGCCCGATCGAGAACTGCCACGCGTCGTTCCACCTCGAGCGCAAGCTGGCGGCCCACGTCGCCGTCCACGCGTCCGGCAAGCCCTTTATCTGCGAGGTCGACGAGTGCGAGGCCGCCTACCGCCGCCCCAGCGACCTCAAGCGCCACGTCAAGGACACCCATCACCCGGCGTCCCGCTACCTGTGCACCGACGACAACTGCTTCATGGCCTTCAACGACTACCACGCCTACCGCACCCATCTCGCCTCTCACCAGCACGTCTGCTTCCTCTGCGGCACCACTTGCGCCAGCTCCGCGCGCCTCAACGCCCATCTCCAGCAGTACCACACCGGCGACCCGGAGGCGGCCACGCACCTGAAGGGCGTCGCGTTCGACCTCCATGACCCCACCGACGACGCCGACGCGTCCTCCGCCGCTTCACCGCTCGACAGCACCGCCGCCGCCGCCGCCGCCGCCGCCGCCGCCGCCGCTCCCGCGCTGTCGGGCGCCACCGAGACCCCGTCCGACCCCTCGCGCTAGCCCTCTTTTTTGTTTTAATTTAACACTTATCACCCTGCATCCTGAAACGTCCTGAATCCGAGCCAGCCAGGAAGGACGGTGCGGATCCGACCACGATCGCGCGACCCGAGCGCCACGGGGGCGGCCGGGGTCGACGGCCCGTCGTCCGAGCGGCACGTGGACGCGTCTCTCGTGAGCCGACGCGGTGTCGGGGCCAAAAGAAAAAATAAAATAAATAAAAGACCGCGCGTGAATGCACCAACCGACAACCGGCAACCGACGTCGCTCGGGCGATCCGGAGGACGGTTCACAGGAAGAGCTTACAGCGAAAAAAAAAAAAAAAAAAAAAAAGAAAAAAGAAAAAAGAAAAAAAGGAATAATACGAAACAAAAGTGAAAATTTCGAGGACCCACCCGGATTTGAACCGGAGACCTACCGCTCTGCAGGCGGTTGCTCTACCGCTGAGCTATAAGTCCAATTTTTTGTTGTTTTATGACTTGGCACGAAGATGAAGTAGAGAATAGGGATGTATTCGATGATGTATATGGAGAGGGTAGTAAGGAAGAGTGGACT